ATCGTACTCTGTGCTTGATGGTAGGTTTGGGTGATATGAACTCATGTATATCACAATATTTTCCTGCTTTTGGACCATAATGATTTCACGTGTGATCTCTATATATCAGGGCTGTCAGACTGTTGAAATAATGAACCTTGATTAATCACATTATTTTGCAGTCGAATTGCGTTTGTTTTATCTGCTCAGATGCAGGGTTCACTTGAAACTGAACGTGAAAATCATCTGATGTCAGCAGCATGGACAGTTTCTGGTTTTCTTCACCGACATCCAGTGAGAGCAGCCGTAGTTTCTTCTAAACAATGATAGCCACTAGCAGTGCGCAGCAGCTGGGCTTTAGCCTCAGGGTCAAGCTAGGAAAATATCATCGCTGTCCAGAGAAAAACAAGTATCTCAAATAGTAACTTTACAGTGAAAAAACATAGCCACGAAGTAAAGAAATTTGCGCACGATTAAAACAAAACGAGAGAATGAATGGTGACGAATAAAAGAAACGTGCCTACGACCTGGAAAACGTTCCCTCAAGTTAATTTTTATTTTTACCTCAATCCCCTCCGGGGCTCCGTGGTTTAATCACCAGTGTTGTAGAAACTGGAAAAGAACACCACTTAATATATGCAGACTTCTCTGCTTTGATGAACAGTGGTGAAGATGTTTGTGCACTGAATTTGATCATGATTCTTTAGCGCATTCAGTGCATGGTGATGTCAGATCACACCAGCTTTTGATTTGATTACTTTGGCATGGTTCAAAATTATTTTTAAAAATACACTACAACACAAACATGACTGCAGCACTTCAGCCATTTATCTGTACAGTGTGTATATTATGTAAAAATAGCCTAAGCTTTTTAGTGTTTAAAACAGCTTGACAGCTTTATTTTGGTCCAAAAAAACGAGCAGATGCTTGAACTGAATGCTGTTTTAATTGAGTATAATTGACTATAAACACTCCAGAAGCAATGCAGTGGAATCACTACTATCAGATCACGATGCATGAATGCATGTTTGCGCTGAAGGTAATAAGTAGTGAAGTTGCCTGTCCGCTGTTTAACATACTGATTGATTCTTTTAGCTGTGTCCATCCATAACTACTGCTGCTACCCTTCATAGTGTATCGTCGCGCAGCCTGACCCCAGCCTGTGGTCAGTCTTTTAGCCCAAGACAAAATGACAACGTGAAGACCCCTCTCACCTCATTCTCTGGCCTCCTCATCTCGCTCTTTTTCTCTCTCAAGCTTTCTCTTTTTCCTTCCACTCTTTCAGCCCTTCAAGGCTCAAATAAGCCTCATGTATTTTTATTTATTTATTTATTTGTGTGTGTGTGTGTGTGTGTGTGTTGTAATGCAGCTGCCCGATTCAGGCCTAGCTCAGCGGATGCCCTTAATAAAATGACAACAGTAATTTGCTTTTGTCACCGGGTGCTGCCGGCGGCTCGGGTGCCTCAAAAATACAGTATTAGAGGAGAGCGAATGTGTGTGTCGCCTCTAATTCTTTTCTCTATTTTCCAGAGAGATGCTTTTTCCATTATGGTGAGGGAAACCGTGCTGGCAGCCCCATTTAAAAGTCCAGCCCGGCCCAGCCCGGCCCAGCCCCACCCCTGCTATAAGGAGCCCCCCCACCATCCCGTCTCACCCGGGCAGAAATAAGAAATTAACATCAGCGTGGCGCGGTTTCATTAGCCTGTCCTTCAGTTTCACTGGAATTATTCAACACCTTTCGCCTTCGCCAGCCACCCCTACCCCCACCCTCCCACAACCCGTCCATCTATCTCTCCACCCTGCCTTCCTTTCATCTTTCCCTCACCAGCTCGTCTCCGAACAGGCGTGTGAGAGAGAGGCGGCCTCACCTGAGCATATGTGGAGTATTAAAGCGGCGCGTGTCGATAGAGGCCTGTTAAATAAAGCGTAATTGATGTAAAATATGAGTGAGAGTTGCGGGCGGATCTGCAGACCCTGCCGGAATGTGTCTGATTAATGAGGAAGAGCCTCACACGTACGCGCACGCACACACGGCTGATTTTATGAAAAATGAATTCCGCGACGCCATGTCATCCGGACGAGCGGCGGCGGGCAGACGGAAAAAGACTATTAGCCCGAATCATTATCAATAGTGATATTTTCAAACTCCATTACGACCATCGCTGCTCGAATTTATTCAATGCATTTAGTTCATTTGGCCGTAATTGATAAATAATCAAAATTTATCAATGTTCCCGCGGCCCGTTTTCAGTAACAATCAAGTAAAAGTGGCCCATTTGCCACCTGACTTAGTCCAAATTAGGGGCTAAATTGATGATCAATTAATCCTACAAGGGGCAGTACAGTGTGTGTGTGTGTGTGTGTGTCTGTGTGTGTGTGTGTGTGTGTGTGTGTGTGTGTGTGTCAGATAAATGGAGTTAAGAGACAGATTAGCGTAGCGATCAGGAAGTAAGTGAAGCGCTGCTGCTCTGTGTGAGCGTGTGCGTACCGTACAGTGCTGTGGCTAACAAGCATGTAGCTGTGATTGACGCTTGCAACAGACACAGATAAACGACAGGAGGAAGATGTGTAGCCTTCCAGTGCCTGGAATTTCAGCCTCTATGTGACTTGGATAGGGATGCGGACTGAAGTTTCATCCGGAGGGGGGGAGTTTTAAATACAAATCAGCCACATTTTAGCAAATCACAGCCACAGAGAGGGGATTTGCCGCTCTCAGCCACCCCCTTTTACCAGCATGAAAGGCGATTGACAGCCATGTTTACTTTAGTTTTTAACTGATGATAATTTTTCTTTTTTCTTTTTTTTTAATTTTCACAATTATTTTTCAAGAATTTACACTTCACCTAGATTCATTTAAATTTTGAATGATTCAGAATATAAAAAACAAATGTTTTTAATGAAGCTAAAAATGAAATACTACAAGGTAAAGAAATATCAGATGGTTAGATTAATATTATTATATTAACTAGGTTTTGTGTGCAATCTGGCAACCCTGATCAGGTTTCTGGCTCAGGCTGGACACACGCAGTACAGCAGCATCTTTTTAACCAGCATCTTAAAAATGAAAACGTTTTTTTCTGAACTGAAGTCATCAGTGAATCATAGGACCTCCAGTGAGTCCAGTGTGCAGAGCTACTGTGCGCTCTGCTGGTGGTGAGTTAGCATTCAGCTTTGCGTGGGCTCATAGAAGTGGTCCATCTGTCTGTTACTCTGTTTGCTTTATTTTTCAAAACATTTTAGATTTTGAATTTAGTTTGACTACTATGAAATATCTGGATACATACATGTGAATGGAGGAGCTGTTCACACCACGGATTATTAAAGGGAAAAATACAGAGCTTTTTATGTTTGAAAATGGCCAAAAAATGGGAATATTTGATGCTATTGTAATCTGACATTCCAGAAAAGTGCAGACGAATCAGTGATATCAGATCATGACGCCTTAAGTTTTAACATCCCAGGTAATGAGTAGGAAGGGTTACTGTTTTATATTAGACACATTTTTCAACCAATAATGTTAGTTTTTCTTCTTCCTGCTGAGTAGAAATCTATCTGTGATGACTAACCATCGTGGTCTTTATATTCTGATGTATGCCACATCACTATGTTCATTAAATTTTCATTATTACACGTTTTTTATGTTTCTTCAACATTCATTCGACAGTGCACTATATATTCATTCATTTTCATTACTACAGTTACTGTATCATAATTAAATATGACCTACCAAGGAGTGACATTTACGCTCTGTGTGGTGGTGGCCATAGTTAAGGAACGTAACAGTCCTATATTTTACTGCATTATGTGTGGGTGTGTGTGTGTATATATTATATAGTATATATATATAATATATATATATATATATAAATAAACGTATATCACATTAATATATCAGTATTAATTAATTAATTAATAACCTTTACCACTCATTTATGATACACAATAGGACCTTAGGGACTGTGTTGTACCTTTAAGGTTACATGTACATTATTTTAACAGAAATGTACACTTTTTAAGGAAAATAGGAAAGGAATATTGTGCACACTTATGAATTCACTAATGAATACACTAAAATATTCAGTCCACCAATAACAAAGCCTTATGGATATGTTATGACGTATGGACCTATAAAAATGCTCCAAAATTAGTAGAAATAAAACCTCATTATACAGCTGTACAATGAAGTTAATGATATTTTTCTCTCTTTCTGTATGTTTACTGTAATTTAGAGATGTTCGGTTCTGATTCAAGAATAATATGGAGATATAAAGAATAGCAGTGAGAAGCAAGTGAAGTATTTGATGCTTAAACTTCTTGAAAGAATGAGCTGGGCATCCAAAACATTGTTAAAAGAAAGATTGCAAAGATTGTTCCTATATATTAAAATTTGTACTTAAAGTTTTATTTTATTTTTATATGTATTTATTTTGGTGTACAAACAACGTCTGGTTGAAATAAATCTGTATTATTTAATTGATGTTAGTTATTTTAAGTAACATTTCCCAGTTTAACTGACCAAATTCACATCATGGCAACACAGTAATATTTGAAGATAAATCTGTAAATAATGTGTTTTTTTTTTCCCCTTTTTCCCTTAATCTGTATACTGTTGTCAGAGTAAGTATTTTAAAGCTAATTAATAAAATATACATATTTTCCATGTAGTGTTTTGTTGTTTTGGTTCACATTTTTAAAGTTTACAAGGAAAACATTAAAGTGAAGAGTTTCATCAGTTGAAACAAATCTCATTATTTTGTTTCAAATAAAAAGGCTGAGAAATTATAAATAATGGTAATGAGAAACGCACATCGACACACTGCGTTAACAAGGATTAGGTTTTTATAAAATGGCACAAAACTTTAATGTAGAAAAATGAGCTCCACAAACTTTTCTGCTGTACCTTATTGAACTCAGATTGATCTGCTAGTTTATATGAACGTTGTTTATCGGCGTGATGCTTATGGGCCTGTTTTGAGGCTGTTTCTCGTGAATTTTGACCATCTTTGTCTGTCTGTCTGCAGGTTGGCTAAAGAGGAGGTGTTGTATATAAAGGAGGCGAAGCAGCAGGAGGAGAGGATCGAGCGGCTGAAGGCCGAGGCGGGGGATGAGTATCTCATCAAGAAACAGGTCAGTGTTTCGGGCCGAGTGACCAGGTTTGGGGTCTCTGTGATATTTACTCATTTTTTTTTAAGAGTTTTGAAGCTGTTTTCATCCTGTGCCCCACCCCCAGCAGAAACCAGAACAGTGCAAAATGCTGCACAACTCAAACTCAAAAAACAATGTTGGAAAATATGTATACATTATGTATATCTGATATTAATCAGCTGGAGTGCTGTGAATAATCATGATTTATTGCTCCCTTTAAAATGCATTCAGCGGAGTTTTCCATTTGAGAAGCGCGAAGCAGAGTGTGGAATAGTCCAATTAAAAATGCATGAATATAAATAATGAAATACTGTTTGAAAGCTTTGTTAACAGCAGTTTATTCAGCGGCTCAGAGTTGTTCATTCCAGTGTTTGGTTAATGTTAGGAATGAAGGAAGTAAACTAAACTGTGGAAAGCTTGGTCCTCCCTGTAGTACTATCCATTAGTTGGATCTCTGACTTGAACTACGTTTTCACCACTTACACAAATCCTTAGCTTGTTTTACTGAGGATAGACAGTTAAACAGTTAATAGCAGTATAGTCTGTTCCTGGCTCACACTTCTGTAAGACTTTAATTTGGCAGTGGAGTGTAGAATTAGTGGAATGAGTCCAAATTAGTGGAAAGAGTCACACAATGAAGTTCTCATTAACAGTAATCAGATGAACAGAGAAGGTGGAGGTGTAGTGCAGGTATGTACAGTAGAGCCTGACCGATATTTCGGCCAGTGTTGGCATCAGTATTGGAGAACACAGCTGAAAATGACTGAGTTTCTCAAAACAAGAGGTGAAATAATTTGTCAAAAGTGAGTTGCTTGTGTTGTTTAATATGTCTGTGTCTAATTAAAGGTTTTAATTGCTTTATGAGCTAATGGGGGATGAATGGGGGTTCTGATGGGGAATACGATGATTTACACGATAGTAAAAGTGCATTTCTCCACCATAGTTCTTCACATCTCTCTCTCTCTCTCTCTCTCTCTCTCTCTCTCTCTCTCTCTCTCTCTCTCTCTCTCTCTCTCTCTGTATCTAATCTCACATCTGGACTGGATGCGGAAAAAGCTTTGCTTTGATGTGTGTGTCTGATGGTGTTACCTGAGACGTCCTCACACCAGAGGGGCCGATCGTAGGGCTGAGTGTGTGTATGTGTGTGTATGTCTGTGGTTTGCTGTGCTGGGTGTGTGTGATGGGTTTGCTACTGTGTGTGTGTGTGTGTTGTGACAGGTCGATAAGCCAATACAGCATTCACTCGTCTCTGAGAACAGCTCTGGGGATGTAACCCTCACACACGTCTCCTTTTGTATTTGATGGGTTACCCACACACACACACACACACACACACCCCGAAATAGGCCTGAACGGTCTGGTTAAAATATCAGTACCACATCACTAGGGATACACCAAAATGGAAATTCTCAGCTGGCACCACCTGTATTAGCTGTATAAAAGAATATATATAAATAAAATTACATTTAACTGTATATATATATATATATATATATATATATATATATATATATATATATATATATACCAAAGTAGCCCTACGCTTTTATATGTTTACAGTTAGCTTATTATTTATTATTAATTATGTTGTAAACATCTTAATCATTAATAAGCAGTTATAACTTGGACTGGGTTTTTGTTAATTTTTTACATTATTGATACCAATACTGTGGTATTGAAAACTCCTGAACAATACATTTATCAATACCTTTTTTCATCACAAATCAAGAGGGTGTGGCTTAAACCAGAAATGAATGTGAGAAACCAAATGTGGGTATATTCACTGACCACAGTGGACCACAGAGTGATCAAGCAGCGCTTCATTAATAACATGCGTGCAGAATTTAATTTAGACAGCCATCCAGCAGTCTAGATTATGAAACAAGCGCACCTATTGGCTTAGAGATAGTCCAACAGCCTAGATACTGCAATCTGGTATTGATTGAGACAGTATAGGTAGTATTGAAGAAATTCAGTACTGTAATATTAAATTTCGATACCCTGTACTAGTTATAACACACAAATAAAAAAAGGATAACTCTTCTCTACTTATATTTGGTTCACTGTTCCTTTTATAACTGCTTTTTATTGATTAAGGTGTTTATAAAATTAATAATCATTACTAAACTAATTACTATACATAAACTCTCTCTAATTGTGATTTTTCTTATTCGTATTTTGACTGTGATTTAAACTGCAATGTTTTTCTCTAAATTAAGATTCAAGCCTGTGTTTTTGGCCACTCGTTCAGGTAGTTCACAAGCTCTGTGTCATTACGTTCACTTTCCCCACTTAAGACAACATTGTTGATGATTAAAAACTCTTTCAAATTTCATTTTGAGTATTAAAAATGATTAATCTCTCAGCCCTACACAGAAAATAAGGGTAACTGGCTCGTTGTCAGCTTTGTGTTTTCTCCTGGATTGTGATCTGTTCCAGCCCGACGGTTTTCTTGTCCAGAACAAGCCTCATATTTTGCTCGGTGTTGTTTTAATGTTTGTGTAATGAATCTCTCTTCTTTCCTCTGTGTGTGTGTGTGTGTGTGTGTGTGTGTGTGTGTATGTGTGCGATCATGTGTGTACGGACAGATGGAGGTGCTGCAGGAGTCCAGAATGATGATTCCTGACTGTCATCGCCGTTTAGCCATGGCTCATGCTGACCTGCAGCAGCTCCTGGTGAGCTCTCGCACATTTTCTCACTTAGAAGGCGCACACAGGGAGAGGTTTCTGTTACAGTATTATGGGAATATTCCTTTATTCCTCGGTGCGGAAACTAAACACATCTACTCTGTACCAGATGGGCCGAGGAGTACATACTGGTCTCGTTAAGTCTCAGGAAAATGCATGTTTAAAACTGAAAGCACACAAAGGAGAGGTAACATTAGTACTGCACACCCATCATGAATAACATCAGTAGGAAATAATATTAAAGGTTTATTGCTACATCCGATTTCTTTTAGGGCCTGACCAACAGAGATGCACTGATACAGGCATCATCAGCCAATGCGGTGTCCGCTATTTTTCATTTACATATCTGCCGATGCATTAACATTCATACAACGTTGAAATTAGAACTAGATTCACCTGCATGAGTGTTAAAATGAGGTAAAATGAATAAAAATGCAGCTATTTTAGCGTGGTAACCCAGCGTCGTCCACATGTTCTGCTCTTCTGGACTTCGGTGATTGCATCATCATTGCTGATATGTTATTATATATTATTTTTTTAGGCAAATCTGCTGATACCGACGAGTTCACTATCATTGTGCATTCCTACCAATCAGTATAATGGTCGGCCAGTAATTTAAGCCACTGTTTTTTATTGCCATCATCAAAAATAACACTGATTTTAGATTCAGGTGTGATAAATGAGAATTGACAATCAAATCTATCAGTTAAGCACTGTTTAACTAAAAGTATTTGCATGTTATATTAAAATAATCATTTATATAAGCTGGCATGTGGTTATCAGAATTTTTAGCCCACTTTTTATATCAGTCACAAAATGTTTAATTTGGTTGGGCCGTAATGTCTAAAGCGAGTCGACCACTGGCCCGTCTTACCCTACATTTTGCCCTCCCATTGCAGACATTACAGATTGATGGATTGGCGATTATTTGTCTTATTTTATATATTTTTCAAATAACCAAAATGTGTAACCATAAACACATTATTGCTGCTCAAAACTGACATACAGAAAGCTACATTTATTATTTTTTACAGGTATTTTTTTTCCTAAATACATTGTGATTTCATAAGATTAGACAATTGTTATATTTAATTTTTTATATTTGCACATGCCCATTGGTAAGACTTTTTAGAGTGGGAGGAGTTTGAGGGCTCCACTCTTTACTTTTTCTGTCTTTTTAATGATGTGGATGTTCTTTTTGTTTTTCTGACCAATATTGTGACTGCAGTATAAAACGCAATACAAATGAAGGTCCAGCCCTGTTTTTTGGCCAAAAGATGAGAATATCCAGGACCACCACTGAGCATACTGTGCAAGACTGGCAGTTACATACAAATAGAAGCAAAGCAGTTGGGTTTCACTGTTGTTGATCTGTCTTTCCGTGATGAAACGTAATGAATTCCCAAATAATGATTACAGTGCGCATCCCTAGTTGTTAATTAGGCCGTGATCATAATTGCAGCTCTTACGATTTGAAAATTGCACCCTTTTAAATTGAGATTTTGATGTGAAAATGATTAACCTTTCAGCCCCATCTCTTCCCTGGTGTTTCCTCCTTAAAGACACATTTTAACAAGGTATTTGTAGAATTAAGTCAAAGTCAGGCTGTAGTCAGTCAGTTCGCGTTTTTGTCCTGAACTTCCTGCAGTTAAGCCTCCAGTTGGCTTATTTAAAACCTTGTCTGAAAAATCTTACCTGAGGCACACAGACACACACAGTTAAGAGGACCCTGTGATTAACCAGAAAGGTGTGTGTGTGTGTGTCCTGTCTGTCTGTGAGACATGTAGAGAGCAATGTCCACATGCTGTCTCTCCCTGCTACTTCCTCCATCCTGACATGCAGAGGAAGCGGAGGATCGGAGACAAGAGGGTTACGGTAATTAGTTGGGAGGAGGGTCATAGAACAGAGCTCAGGTGTGTGTGAAGGAGCATATATGTGAACATTGACAGTATGGTATACATTTCTGTGCAGAAGTCAGAGACTCGATTTCCAGTCCGAACAGCCATTAAGTACAAGTTATTAATTTTATCAGGAGAGATTTCTGAGGAGTTTAGATCTGATAATCCACACAAGTAAGGAAAGAGAAAGTGTGGTCAGGAGGGACAGGGATGCAGCCTCACTTCCTGCTCTAAAATGCAGGGGCGTGGCTACAATAAAGCTCTGCCTACAGACTAAACCTGTTTTGGTAATGACAAGCATTTTTGCATAGTTTTTTTTATTTAAAAATTAAACTCACAATAAATCTAAATCTTTTCACTTCACTTTAAATGAAATCAATTTTTTTTAAAGAAACATTTTGTATTATTTTTCAAAAGTGTAAATTTAGGGGTTAGGATTTGAAAATACTCTATAAAGTGTTCGGCCCTTAGCATTGTATTTCATTCTATTTAAGGCGGTGTCAGAATGAAAATATATATATATATATATATATATATATATATATATATATATATATATATATATATATATATATATATATATGTATGTGTATATGTGTGTGTGCGCGTGTGTATTATTATCTTTTTTAGTAAATTTTTTGCACTTCTGCTAATATTGGAGTTTTTATGTATAATGTCTTCCACTCAGCCCTGAACACGTTCACACACTTATTTAATTGCATACATCAACCAGTTGTGAAGGAGGACAGGATTTCTGGCCTGTTGCACTGCAGCAGGGAAGTGGCTGAGCTGACATACATCAATCACCACCTTCTTATCTGATGAATTAACAAATAAGAATAAAGCGGCTAATTGAACGAAGGCACTACTAAATACCACTGCACTATTAAATGTCAGTCAGGAATACACAGGTGAGCAAAATTGGCATCAAATGAAAATGCACTGTTTTGTACAGCATAAATATGAAGATGTTAAATCTATAGTCTCGAACAGGGGCTCACTGATTTATACCAGGAGCAGGGCTTGACCGATATGAGAACTCTGTGGCTGATACTGATTTAAGGGGAATGAAAATTCTAACGGCTGATTGATTTTTCTTATGTTTCTGTTATTTTAATTTTACATTCCAATCATTTTACTTAACAGTGCTTTACTGACCTGATAGGATTGTTCTAACTCATCAAACTTATAAATGCAAATAAACAACAGAAGCTTACAGTCTTAAATTACACACATGTTTTAGCACTGGGTGCAGAGCTACCCAGAATTCTGGCTTTGGTGTCTGTTAATTATTGCTTACTTTTCCTATTTTGTCAATTGTTCTCTTAAAGAAATAGGTTATTAGCGCTATACAGTCTTATATGAACATTTGAGTGCCCCGATCAAATTAGATGTTTTTGTAGATTTTTTTTTCTTTTTTTAATGAAAATGTGTAAAATGTTAATGGACAATTACTATTTCTTTGCAGAATTCGTAAAAAAAGGAAAGGCACAATTGCTGTTTATTTGCAGAATTCATAAAATTTTAATTTGCAATAACTGTTCATTTGCAAAATTGGTCAAATTTGAATGTACAATTACTGTTTATTTGCAGAATTTGTCAAAATTTTATGCACAATTACCATTTATTTGCAGAATTTGTCAAATTTTAATGCACAATTGCTGTTAATTTGCTGAATTTAACCTAATGGAAAAACTGAAGTTAACAGATTTTGCCAGTTTGTTGAACATAGCAGACAAAGACATTTAGCACTAAAATTTAAATCTGTTATTTAAGTATTTACTCTTTATATGAAGTATTATTTCACTTACAAAATCAGCAGAACATCTAATTTGATCAGGGGTGTTCAAACTTTTGCACCCTTCTGTAACATATATACATGCTAAAGTGTGAATCCAGCAATGCCACAACAGAAAAAGTCAGTAATTATCAACAATATTTTTGTCAACACTGATAAAACAGCGGGCGGCACGGTGGCGCAGTGGGTAGCGCTGTCGCCTCACAGCAAGAAGGGCCTGGGTTTGATTCCCGGCCGGACGACCGGGGTCATTTCTGCGTGGAGTTTGCCTGTTCTCCCCGTGTCTGCGTGGGTTTCCTCCGGGTACTCCGGTTTCCTCCCACAGTCCAAAGACATGCAGTCAGGCCAACTGGACATGCTAAAATTGCCCCTAGGTGTGAGTGTGTGTGAATGTGTATGTCTGTCTGTCTGCCCTGCAATGGACTGGCGACCTGTCCAGGGTGTATCCTGCCTTCCGCCCAATGACAGCTGGGATAGGCTCCAGCACCCCACCACGACCCAGAAGGATAATCGGTTTAGATGATGTATGTATGTATGTATGTATGTATGTATGATAAAACAGCGAGCCGTCAGTATCAGCCAACCGATATATCGATGGCAGCAAACTGAACGGCTGGACGTTTTCACAGATTCAGCTGATTTAGCTTTCCGTATGAAGGCCTGTGCTCTGATCGTTTCGGCTCACCAGCAGCATCGTCACGGCTGCTGGTCTCCGCCAGTGATCGATCAGCATTGACGTGACCTCCGCTTTCCTAACCCGCCATCACATCTGCACAGCGTGAGAATCGCAGCACACAAAGGCTTTTATTCCGCTTTGTTCATCGGATATTTTATCCTTTTTGGCAATCGTGCTTCACCAAAGCTGAGCTGATTCGTCGTGAGGTTAATTACGCGTGCTGTGAGCCTAGTTCGGTCATCTTCATCATATTAGGTCATAGGTTCATTTAATGTCTGTTCAAAACTGACCAATTTTCCAAGTTTCTTTGTGAGGTTTTTATCTTTTCAGAGCAAGATTTAAGATAATTCCAGTTTTTGTTGGGCAAGAAGGTATTAATGGAGAAGATCAAATCTATTTACAGTGATTTTCTGCCTTGAGATCTGATCACTTCACGCGCCCGACGTTCTGCGTGTTGATTTTATTAGAACCTAATTATTGACGTTCTGCAGCTTTCTCAGTCACTGTGGAATCAGCAGCTCTGCTCATTATTCTGGACACATCTGACATTTTTAACAGCTTCCTACAAAATAATTGAAATATTTGAAGTTGTAGCATCATAAAATCATTTTATAGTGGTATCTGAAATAAATTGGTCTTATTATTGAAAACAGTGATTCCAAACTTGTGTACTCATGTGTTTTCACACTAACATGTAACTGTAATGGTGCAATAGATTAACACCAAGGATTAAACTGATTAAACCATTTTGGAACCTCAGACATTTACATGTCATGCCTGTGGAACCTGTTCAAATAGTGATTTGTTGAATTACGTTTCTGTAAAAATGACCAAGTATTTGGTTTATATTATAAATGAATGTGTTAAACAAAATAAACATTTCTTACTGCAGCCCTTTAAGGATATTAACAAACATCAAATAAACATTACTCACCACTGCCCTCTAAATGTGTTAACCTCAAATAAATTTTACTCACTGCTGCACTCTAAAGGTGTTCTTAACAAGCATCTAAACATTACTCACCAGCGCCCTCTAAAGGTGCTATTACAAACATCACAGAAACGTTACTCACTGCTGCCCTCTAAAGGTTTTAACAAACATCAAATAAATGTTACTCATTGCTGCCCTCTAAAGGTTTTATTAACAAATATCAAGTAAACAAATGTCTCTCACTGTCGCCCTCTAAAGATGTTAAAACATCAAATAAGCGTTACGCACCGTTGCACTGTGTTAACTACAAATAAACGTTACTCACTTAAGCCCTCTAAAAGTTTTATTAACAGACATTAAATAAATGTTATTCACCGCTGCCCTCTGAAGGTGTTAACAAACATAGAATAAACATTACTCACCTCTGCCCTCTAAAGGTGTTAACATAAAAATGTAAGGTACTGTTGTAAAAGCTAACATCTGTGTAAAAATCAGTTCATCTAATAGGTGATAAATAATCAGGTGATTATGTAATAATTATGAGAGGCCTAACATCAGTCTAAGTCGTGTGGTGATGTCTGTATCATTGTGATATTCCCAGATGTCTGTCGGTGATGTCTGTCTGATTGGCAGGATTCTGTGTTTCAGGAAACGGAGGAGGATCTGGCAGAAACAGAGGAATACAAGGAGGCCAGAAGCATTTTAGACTCTGTCAAGCTGGAAGGATGATGTAAACACACAGCACACACAGTCCCGAGTGTCCATTCCATTTGTCAGGACTTGTTAAGAAGTGTCGATTCAAGCCAGATGTCTCTTCCTCCCTCTCTCTCCCTTTCTGTATTTATTTTTAACTCACGGAATGACGTGCCACCTGATCCTTAACGTTCTCTGATGATCAAATTTACACAAAACATCAAATAAACTTCCTTTCTTACGACACCGTTTCAGCGCCATTTGTTCTCATTTGCTTGTGTTATCAGGTGACGCGTTCTTGACTGACGCGGCCTCTCGGAGCGTTTCAGTGCGGTTGTGCTGCGCTCAGTTATTCTATCCCTCTATAGCGGGGCTGCCAAATCTGAACTGTGAGGACCTTTGAGTTGACCTGCCACAAGTAACCACAACCCCACTCACTCCTCCAATGAGAGAACTTACTTTTATACTGTGCTTAACTTTAAAGCTGCACTATGTCATTTTTGGGGGTTTTGGAGACCTCTCTGGTGGAAATGTGTAACTGTACGCCAGGGGCGGAAGAATTTTGGAGTGGGGGGTTCAGGATGGGCAGTATTTAAGTGTCGTGATATTTTTGAAAGGCATTTTCATGATATTCAATAAGCATCATGATATTTAGTTTTAAGAATTTTCCTGTAGTAGCACATATAAAAATACTCTAACAATAATAAAATTTAGTGATTTTTATTCAGTGTTTCAGAAAGTGGCGCTACTTTCAATTAAACAGGCCTAATTATGCTCATGTTGTATTGAAACATGAAGTTAATGTTCCCTAAGTACTGATGACATCCACAATATGCTCAGAAAATCTTATTGGGACACAGTTTATCACGATAACAGTGAAATATCACAACATGGAGAAGATGGAAAGTTTGCTCTGTGGGGGTCCTGACCGTTGAAGAACAGGGTAACAAAGTATGCAGAGAAACAGATGGACTACAGTCTGTAACTGTAGAACTACAGAGTGTAACTATACGGTCAGTGGAGCTGATAAAGTGGACAATATAGAAGCAAGTAGGTGGACCTAATGAAGTGGACAGTGAGTGGACATGTGTGGACATTCCTGTTTATGGATATCCACTTATTCAGTCTACAGCAGTTTAGCCCCGCCCATTCAGTCTACAGCAATTTAGCTCCGCTCATTCAGCCTACCGCCGTTTAGCCCCGCCCTTTCAGCCTATAGCAGTTTAGCCACACCCATTCAGCCTACAGCCATTTAGCCCCGCCCATTCAGCCTACAGCAGTTTAGATCCACCATTCAGTCTACAGCTTTTCAGTCCCGCCCATTCCGCCTACAACAGTTTAGCCCCACCCATTTAGCCTACAGCAGTTTAGCTCCGCCCATTCAGTCTACAGCTTTTCAGTCCCGCCCATTCCGCCTACAACAGTTTAGCCCCACCCATTTAGCCTACAGCAGTTTAGCTCCGCCCATTCAGCCTACAGCAGTTTAGCTCCACCATTCAGCTACAGCTTTTCAGTCCCGCCCATTCCGCCTACAACAGTTTAGCCCCACCCATTTAGCCTACAGCAGTTTAGCTCCGCCCATTCAGCCTACAGCAGTTGAGCCCCGCCTATTTAGTCTACGGCAGTTTAGCTCCACCCATTCACTCTGAAGTCATAAGGAGTGTTTCATCCCAGACTGCTTTCTGAATGAGGCAGCCAATCAGAACAGAGCTCTGTAACGTTAGACTGAAAGGCGCAGTAAGAACAATAGCCTGTTTATTCGAAATGGATAAAGAGAGGCTGGAAAAATAAAGTGAAAAATCCGTATAAACATGTACTGAGATGTGGAATACGGGCTCTTTAAGAAACACAAATAGGAGTGTGAGATCAACGCAGCGCTGTTAAAACCGGGAGGAAGCGGCGCAGAGGAGCGAAGTTTCTCCGTGTCTATTTCGGTCTCTGGCTAAAGGCTACATTAGCGTGTTTATTTGGCTCGTGCGCGGCTCCGTGTGTGCGCCACACAGAGAGACGTGCTGCCGCTCCGCGCCTTTAATTGATATTTTCAGCTTTGCTACATTTTCCAAACACGTCTCCTCGTTCTCACCTCTGCGCGAGGAGCTTGATGTGAACCTGTCAACCTTTGGCGCGTGGGGGATTAAAAAAATCCTGCGTAATCTGTCAGTTGATGGGAGAGAGAGGCTGTTCTCCCCCACTGAGCTGAGCTGAGTGGGACCTGAGCTGAGCAGAGCTGAGCTGAGCTGAGCTAAGCTGTGTGGGAGCGCAGAGACGAAAATACGACCAGCATCAGATCCAGCCTACCGAGCAGAGCCGGGCCTGTCCGCGCATGCGCACTGCCTCACACTCGCTTTTAGTACGCGTTAAATACACTCTTTAAAAAGATGGTTCTTCAAGGGTTCTTTACTGAAGGCAATGGCTCGATTTAGACCCGTCTGCATGGTGGAATGGTTCTTCAACTTGATGGAGAATGTGTTATATATGGTGCCATATAGCACCAACAAGGGTTCTTCCATTACAAGCTTGACATAACAGTAGCAGAACCCTTTGCGGTGTTCTATGGAACCATTTCTCCATGTGTTGAATGTGTTGTATAAGGTTCTGTATACACTCTTAGCAAAAAGGGTTCTATATAGTACTAAAAAGGGTTCTTTGGTTTTTAACAACAGTGGAACCCTTTTCAAAAAGGTTCTGTATAGAACCATCTACAGCACATTCTCATTCAATCTGAAGAACCCTTCCACGATGCATGGAACCCTTTAATCATGCAAAGGGTTCTTTGAGTCTTACAGTTCTATATAGAACCATTTTCTGTACTAAAGAGCCCTTGAAGAACCCTCTTTTTTAAGAGTGTAGAACCAAAAAGACGTCTGCTATAACAAGCTTGCCATTGTAACAATAGAAGAACCCTTTTTGGTGCTCTGTAGAACCATTTTCAAAATGGTTATACATAGAACCAGTTCACCATGCTAAGAACTATCTAAGCATGCAAATGGTACTACACTCTTAAAAAAGATGGTTCTTCAGTGGTTCTTTAGTGAAGGCAATGGTTCTATTTAGAACCATAAACTCTATATAGAACCACCTGCATGCTTAAATTGTTCCTTGCATGGAGAAATGGTTCTTTGGATTGCTTGAGAATGTGTTGGATGTGGTTCCAGATAGAACCAAAAAGGGTTCTGCTATTGTTACAAGCTTGCCATCATAACAGTGACAGAACTCTTTTATTTAGAACCACATTCAACAGATTCTCCATTAATCTGAAGAACCATTTTGCCATACAAAGAACTACTTAAGCATGCAAATGATTCTATGCAGAACTCATGGTTCTATAAAGTACCATTATCTTTACTAAAGAACCCTTGAAGAACCATCTTTTTAAGTGTAGATCTGTCTTTTTTTCCTTTTCTGATACCGAACAATGAATATCCTGCACCTGAACTCCGTTTTGACTGGAAACTAAAACTTTTGCACATATACAGTCGTGTGCAAAAGTTAGCGCCCCCCCGGTCGAATGACTTGTTGAGTGTAAGTAAGAGAACACATCCTCGCCGGAGAACGCGCTCCTGTAAATGAGCAGTTATTAAGTTGTGGCACTCTGTATGCAATATTTTGAACTGATTAATTAAGCAGTGATTGTGTATTAACCTTATTTTCGCTTCGAAAATCATCAAAAATGTCATTTTTCTGAGCACACTTTTGCACGACTGTATATGAGTAATATGTAACATAAATAAACAGCGCTGTGCGAAAGTCAGAGATCCCTAATTTATTTAATTCCAGTCAAAACAGTCATTAAGTACAAATTATTCAATTCTCAGCATCAGCAATAAAAAAAGAAACAACGTTTAACAGAAAATTACACTCAACCACTAAATATCATTTCAGATGTTTCAGTATTTAATATCTTCCCCTTTATTACAGCTTGCGTTCTTCTCAGGAGACTCACTTTTTCGGTGGTGTCTCTACACCAGATGCCCAGCACCACCAGATGTCGCTGTGGTGCACTACACAGCATGATCAATAATTCAGTGTAACAACTAATATATGTGTAGTTTTTTCTTCGTAACTAATATTGTTGTGCGTTTATTACATATGATAATGGTAGGCTCCCTATTTCTCGGGGCCCCTCAGCGCTCGTCTAACCAAGTGAGCAGTTAAACACACTCTGCGCATGTTCAACACGCTTTTGGTCACCACTTGTGGGGCCGATCACGTTGGCCCCATGCTGAGCGCAGCCAATAAAACATAATACATTTACATACGTCCAGATGTTTAGTAACATCGTTTTTTATGGTATGAGCATTGCTACGCAGCTAGCCACTGTTCCTCATCAGCTGTGGTAGCCACTCATAATAGCAAGGCAAAATAATGAGTTGAAACATAATAAAAGTAAAATTTTGTTCCAGACATTAGAGCAGAAATTACAGATTAAACGTTTGGGACACACCAGACAGAGAATTTCAACATCATTCAGTCTGGAATGGACAAAAACTGCTCCTTCAGTCCAGAGAGGTTCAAGAGAAAAACATGGCTGACTGTGAGTGTAGCTAAAACACTCATCTGCTTTCCTTGCCTGCCCTCGCTATGGTATCACTCGAATTCATTCATGGATTGGTGGACTTTGGTGGAGAGGAAAGGTTTTGACGAGTTTGTCCAGATGAAAGATCATCGTGCATCTTTTATTTTCGAGCACTGAACATCACTGGTGGGTCATTCTGCATTATTACAGGGCGAGTTATTCCTAATGCCCGGAAAGCGTGTTTCCCTGCTCTGATACATTGTTTTGGATATGTATTTGCAGACCGCAGTGATCATTTACTGATAGATGTCGTTATCATAGCACTCATATTCCTGCTTCCACCAACTCCGGCACCGTTACGTTAACTTGTGAATGTATGATTTTATTGATGAAGTGCATTTGTGTTTGATCAGGTTTGTATGTAGTTTCATTGACGAATCGGCTGCTTTCAGTTTCTCAAAGAATCTGCAGACACACCTCCAAAGTTCTGTCTTAGAAGCTGGTTGATCATTTTCTGAAGTAATCAAACACATTCAGTGATGTTGAGGTCTGGACTCTGTTCTGGATACTGTTGATCTGATGGGGAACCCTTTTTGAACTCTTCCTTTTAAGCTTTTCCTTTGACTTTCTATCCCGAGTGGATTATCATATCTAATCTCCTCAGTATAGCAGTGCTGTGCAAAAGTCATCAATCATGTATTTAATGTGTAGAATGAGAATTGAATGTT